CCTCCCAAGTCACTGCAGTAAGATACCATGGTCAATGGTATCGAAAGCCGCTGAGAGGTCAAGAAGGACCAGGATGGAGGAGCAACCCCCATCCCTGGTCCGCCAGAGATCATTTACTAGGCTGACCAATGCCGTTTCCGTGCTGTAACCGCACCTGAAACCCAATTGGTACGGGTCTAGGTAGTCAGTTTCCTCCAGGAACTGCGGGAGCTGCTGTGCAACAGCCTTCGCTATAAATCAGCATATCCTATATCTGAGGATATGCTGAAGGCTCGGAATGCCTGTGCTTCAGCGCAGAATGACTTTCACCTGTTTCCTTCTGGGCCAGGGGCTTCTGCCTGTTGGGCCACTTCCTGAAGCTGGCAGCTCCGCAGCCAGCCGCTTCGCTTTTCCCCTCTTTTTCCTCATGGGAGGCTTGCATGGTGGCACCAGCAGAAGTGAGAGGCAGAGGCTATCCCAATGCACCAGCCTCTTCATCCCACTGTCTCTTGGCTTGCCTGCAGCTGCACCAAACAAGCACCAGCACTGTCTGGATTGCCTGCCTTCCCCACGCTGCTGTCGCTGCTTAAGCCTCCTGAGAGCCTCCCAAAAAGAGGGGGAAAGCAAAGCAGCTGGCCGTGGAGCTGCCAACTTCAGGGAAGCGGCCCAACAAGCAGAAGCGCTGTGCCCAGAAAGAGAAGGGCAAGAGGGGCCAGTGGGCTACAGAGGCAAAGGCAAGCTCTGGGGCGGCAACGGCGCTCTGGGAGAGAGGGTCGATGTCCCGGGGCTGCACATGCAGTGCCGCCACCACCGCCTCTCTTGGCCCCAGCGCAGCAGCTGCATCTCCCCTGAGGGCCAGCCACCCACCCACTGGTCGTGCTGGGCTGGAAGTGGCACATCTCCCATCAAGGGCTGGATGTGGGACTGGACCTCAGAAGGCAAGCTAGCTCCCTTCAATGCAGCCAGGCAGCCCTGACATGCTTGCTTGCCTGCCTTCCACACGGCCTTCCTGGCAGTCCCCATGACCAGCTTGTGAAGGCAGGCCCGGGAGGGTGGGGGTGGGGCCAACCAGGGGTTCACACATGCTTGGACCCTCTGCGCATGCACAAAACCTTCTGTGCATGCACAGAGGCCCCCAAAAACAGGTTACTTCCTGGTTAAAAGCAGGAAGTAATAATGTCTGGGCAGGTGGACGGAGCCTCACACTGCCACCGATACCGGTTCTCCAAACCATGCGCCACCGTCACTACCAGTTCGGCCGGACCAGTCTGAACCAGCAGCATTTCACCCTTGATGTAGGGTCTCCTGCCTGAGCAGGGGGTTGGGCTAGAAGACCTCCAAGGTTCCTTCCAACTCTATTCTGATTGATTGATTGATTGATTGATTGATTGATTGATTGATTGAATGAACCAGTGGAACAGATTTATTTATTTATTTATTTATTTATTTATTTATTTATTTATTTATTTGTCAAACATGAACAAGATAGCAGGTATAGGTATAAAGATAAACATAAACAAAGGGAGTAAGTACAGATAAATGGGGACAGTAGGACAGGGACGATAGGCACACTGGTGTGCTTATGTACGCCCCCTTTATGGGCCTCTTAGGAATGGGGGTGAGGTCCACGGTAGACAGTTTGAGGTTGAAGCTGTGAGGGTTTGAGGCTGTAACAATAGAGTTGGGTAGATCATTCCAGGCATTGACCACTCTGTTGCTGAAGTTGCATTTTCTGCAATCGAGTTTGAAGCAGTTTATCTTGAGTTTGTATTGATTGTTTGCCTCTGTATTATTGTGGTTGAAGCTGAAGAAGTCATTGACAGGTAAAACATTATAGCAGACCATTTGTGTCGCATGCTTAGATTGGACCACAGGTGGTGCAGTTCCAGATTGTCCAAGGCCAAAATTTCAAGCCTGGTGGCATAAGGGATTCTGTTGTGAGTGGTGGAGTGGAGGACTCTTCTCGTGAAATACCTCTGGACCCGCTCAATCGTGTTAATGTCCAATATACAGTGTGGATTCCAGGCAGATGAGCTGTATTCAAGAATTGGTCTGGCAAAGGTTTTGTATGCCCTAGTTAGCAATACAATGTTACCAGAGAAGAAGTTTTGCAAAATTAGGTTAACCATTCTTAATGCCTATTTGGCAATGGTGCTACACTGAGCTCTGGGGCTTAGATTGTTTGAGATGAGTACTCCAAGGTCCTTGACAGAATGAGGGTCGTCTACAAGGTGGAAATACAAGTTTCCACCCAACTTGTATTTGGTGTTCTGATTTTTTTAGCCAAAGTGCAGGACAGAGCATTTATTAGTTGAGATTTGGAGTTTGTTTGTTTGTTTGTTTGTTTGTTTGTTTTTTGTTTGTTTATATTTGTATACCGCCCTTCTCCTACTGGACTCAGGGCGGTGCACAGCCAAGAATAAAAAACATTCCAATACAAAATTTAAAATTATTAAAAGAATTATATAAATTTGGCCCAAAATTTTAAACAATGCACATTACAATTTAAAATATCCAAGGGTGGGAGGGTTACGCCAGCCCAGCTTGATGAAACAAAAGAGTTTTTAGGGCACGGTAAAAAGTCTGGAGATCTGATATTCTCCGTATCTCCGGGGGGAGGTCATTCCAGAGGGCAAGTGCTGCCACAGAGAAAGCCCTCCCCCTGGGGGTCACCAGACAACATTGCCTGGCTGACGGCACCCTGAGGAGCCCCTCTCTGTGGGAGTGTACTGGCCGGTGGGAGGCTATCGGCGGCAGAAGGCGGTCCCGCAAATACCCAGGCCCTATGCCATGGAGCGCTTTAAAGGTGGTAATCAACATCTTGAAGTGCACCCGGAAGACCACCCGAAGCCAATGCAGCTCGCGCAGGAGAGGTGTCACATGGGAGCGCCCCGTTGCTCCCATAATCCCCCACGCGGCCACATTCTGCACCAATTGAAGCCTCCGGGTGCTCCTCAAGGGGAGCCCCATGTAGAGAGCATTGCAGTAGTCCAGGTGGGAAGTGACGAGTGCCTGAGTGACTGTGCGTAAGGAGTCCCAATCCAGAAAGGGACGCAACTGACAAATCAGGCGGACCTGATAAAAAGCCCCCCTGGCCACGGTTGCCAAATGTGCAACCATTGTTGCCAAATGCGCAACCATTCAGACACATAAGGAAGATCACTTTGCAGAGCAGCAGCATTGTCAGTGGTGTTAAATAATTTAATGTCATCAGTGAAGAGGACACCGCTGCTTTTGATATGATCGCTTAGGTCACTGATGTAGAGCAGAAAGAGCGTGGGTCCTAAAACACTGCCCTGGGGGACACAGCTGTTAATTGGTGCCAGATTTCATTGGGCCCTCCCTATTTTCACTATTTGTTAGATAGCAGGTTGTTTATCTCTAAATGGAGGGTGATGGATAGGTTTATAATTGATTCCATAACTTTACAGGTGATGCAACACAGTAAGATTGGTCTGTAATTTTCTACTAGACTAGGGTCTCCCTTTTTAAAGATAGGTATAACCGTGGCTAATGACCATAGGTCATTTTGTCATTGTCCCAAAGGTGCTTTTTCCAAAGGCAACTGGGCTTTGTTTTTCCTTGAATATGTCTCACTTCTCATCCAAGAAGCTTCTTCAGTTCTGACTGAATGGTGGAGGATGGAAGGATTTATATTCCCTGCAGTCATCTGTTCCTTAGTGCCCTAAGAGTTTTTGAGGCCACTCGAGGGTTTCTCTGTACCTTCAGGATCACTTGAATAGTGCAAATGGGTGTGGATCTTCTTGGAACTGCTGAAAGGACCGTGTTGTAAGCAGGAAATTGGTGGTGTGGTATCACTCCCCCTCAGTTGAATTGAGGCTGTTCAATCTTAATGTAGATGGCCTCTTTGACTTTGACTTTGAACCTCTCTGGGTCCCCTCTGCCCAGAATGTGGACTTTGCTGTTTTCAAAAGAGAGACTTTTGTCTTTCAAATGCAGGTGGACTGCTGAATCTCGTCTTGATGGCTTTGTTCTTCTATGTTGTGCCATGCGTTTGAGAAGTGGTTGTTTTGCTTCTCCAATGTACAGATCTGTACATGTCTTGTTACATTGTACTGCATATATCACATTCCTAGGTTTGTGTCTGTATGTTTTATCCTTGAGGCGGACAAGCTTCTGCCTTCATGTATTTTGGGATTTCAAGTGTGCATGTACATTGTGTTGATTGAAAACCCGCCTGGGTTTTTCAGGTATTCCTACGTTATATGGAATGACATGTTACTTCATTTGTTATTGTTAACATTATTATTATTATTGCTAACATCTGAAAAGCTCGGGGTGATTTGGAGTGGGAACATAGCAATTTGTTTCGAGACCCAAGCACCACAAGATGGGATGAGCTCCCATCCTCACCTCAGCTCCTACCAACCTAGCAGTTCGAAAGCATGTGTATGTGAGTAGATAAATAAATAGCACTTCGGTGAGAAAGTAACAGCACTCTGTGATGTCATGCTGGCCACATGACTGTGTAAATATCTTTGGATAGTGGTGGCTCAATGGTCTTGAAATGGAGATGAGCACCACTCCTGTAGTTGGCAACAAGTAGCAGAGTAAAATACACAGGATTCAATCCTCCATGTGCTCCTGTGAGGGTTGAAAAAGGCACCTGGGCCAGTCTGCTTTCACCTGCTGTTGGGCTCTTTTCTTCTCCTTCCACACTTTCTCTTTTCTTCGACAGGTGTTGTGTCTGCAAAAGATTCCCCTCGACATGTCCAAGAATTCTGTGGATGACTGCTGAACCTTGTCCTGATGGTTTTGTTCTCCTATGTCGTGCCATGCGTTTGTGAAGTGGTTGTTTTGTTTCTCCACTATGCAGCTCTGTACATGTCTCACTACATTGTACTGAATACATCACACTGCTTCTCTTTTGTTAGTTCAGGACCCAATATTTCTCACTAAAAAGGGCATTTTGATGGACAGGGCCAATGGTCAAATCTATCAAGACCTTGGGCTCTTTTCTCTCCTTCATGTTTTTCCACACCTTCTTTTTTCCCGGACAGGTCTTGTGTCTCCAAAAGATTCCCCTCGACATGGCCAACAATTCTGTGGATGACCAGTACATTGATTGCAACCCCATGAGAGAGCTCAAGCTGCAGGAGCCAGGGTATCTTCCCATACCCCCAAAATATAAGACAACCTGGAAAAGGGCCACAGAGCACTGGGATAAACTTGGCCAATCTGTCGGCAACTTCAATAAAATCTATGGCACTGCAATTGTGGCTTACACAGCCGATGGTGACTTCTGTGAAGATTTCAATAAGGCTACAAGAACAGCCAGGAAATCCCGAAGCTCATACAACCGATATGCCTTCAAGGACTTCCACCTCCTCCTAACCAAAGCTCTTCAGGCCAAGAATAACAAAGGCAAATGCTATGAAGTCTTCCGCGGGGTAGAAAACATCCAATTCACAGTCCGCATCAAACAGCTTGTCCGCTTCGGACAGTTTGCATCCTCATCCTTGGTCAAAAAGGAAGCTGAAAATTTTGGCACGGGCACCTTCTTTTCTATCAGGACCTGTTATGGAGTTCCGATTGACGACTTCTCATACTTCCCAGAAGAAATGGAAATTCTCATCCCACCTTATGAGAAGTTCATCGTGAAGAGCCAGAAGGGACGCACCATCAGACTGGAGTCCCAAGGGGTTTCCAGCTGGTTCAACTGTGAAGTCCTGAAAGGTAAGAGGCTGGAGGAGTGGAGAACTTGAGGTTCAAAGGAGCCAAGGAACAGCTCGGCTGTATGTAGGTGGCTGGAGAACCAAAACAGTCCCTGATGGACCAAATCTCTTTGGAGCTGCTGGGTTTTTGTTGGTTTTCTCATTTTTCTTTTTTAGTCCTATTGAATAAAAGCATTCGGGTCATGGACAAGGCACCTTGGCAAAGGATAAAAATTGAGAATGAATGAATAAATAATAGGAATCAATATTTCACTTGGTGCCACATTAACCTTGCTGTCCCTCATCCTATTTTTGTCTCCACAGGTGCAGATTGCTAAACTCCTATGGGGAGGCCGTTCCTTCTGTGGGGTCTCCTTCTGACCTGAACCATCCTTGAGTCTCTGGGAAGCCTTGAACAACTTGGCTCTCTTGGAAGAGAGCTTCCCTAGGAAGGAGACCACGTGTGATGTGCAAAATACCTTTGAAAAGTGCCTTTTTTGCCCTCCTGACAAGATTTCAGGCAGCTCAACAAAGGCAATGACAGCTAGTCTTCGATTTACAACTGTTCATTTAGTGACCATTCAAAGTTACAACGCCATTGAAATCTGCGACTTATGACCGTTTTTCACACTTACAATCTTTGCAGCATGCTCGGAGTCATGTGATCAAAATTCGGACGCTGGGCCACGGACTCATATTTATCACAGTCATAGTGTCCCATTTTGGGACCTTCTGACAGGCAAAGTCAAGGAGGAAGTCGGATTCACTTACCAACCACATTACTCATTTAAGAACCGCCAGAATTCATTTAACAAATATGGCGAGAAAGGTCATAAAATGGGGAAAACTCACTCCATGCATGTCTCACTTAACAAAAGAAATTTTGGGCTCCATGGAGATTGTAAATTGAGGACTACCTGTATTTGGGGAGGGTGAAGTCTTTCTGTAGGGTGTAGAAATCAAGGATTAGGTAAATGTGATATGGGATGATTGTATCAGAAATCAAGAAATCAAGCAATAAAAGTCTTCAATTTGCAATGAAAGCTTTGCTTTGTTACAAGGCAAAAAAGATGGACACACACACACACACACACACCCTCCTGCTCTACCTTGTATCTTCTCCTCTCCCACCCAGTTTCGCTTCTTTCTGGACACTTTGCAGCTTTAACCAGGGAGTTCAGAAGGCGGCCCTATTGTTTGGTTGATGAAAAGGCTAGTTTGGGTCCATTGAAGGAAATGACTCTGATTCAAAGGGGGGGGAATAATGTAAAGGGAACCCACTCCCCAGAATAAAATATTTCCCCACGGATAATTTCCTAAAAGAGAAGAAAAAATAATAGAATTAAGAATAGGCAGGAAATCTCAGCCATCTTTCCTCCCCCAAGACAGACCGTGGACATAGTTTAGGGAAACTCCATTTCATTCAAAAGATACAATGTCCCCTGTTCATTAAACTGGACTCCCATTCAAAAAACGCTGCATAACAAAGCAATCTCCGAAAAGATGGGGTGACTAGATAAAGGGCAGAAACTGATTCGGCAGAATCTAGAGCCAAATTAGAATACCAAAAGCATTTATACTTATATTTCCCTTAGCCCCAAGAATCAGACACAATATCATACGCAAGAAAAGGAAAACCTATAACCGCAATTGGAGTATTGTCGCCGGCCCAAAGAACACGAAAAGAATTCATGGCTCATGAATTAATTAGGGCATCTTTTGGAAACTTGACACATATATTCACACAGTGAAAACAAAGAACTCAGAAACATATAAAAACTCACTCACCAACAAACCTAATTTGCTAGCTGGCTCCAAGGACCCTTGTTGCTGTTATTGGAAAATGAACAGAACCTCCTTTCCATAAGCAGCTTGCCTCGCAACTTGATTTTCACTCGCCGCTTCTCTCTTAGCTTGGGAGAATGAGCGAACGCTAACCAATTCTTTTGACAATTTGGGAACCACAAAGGTACTCCAAAGTTTACCTGAGTTACAGACCTGACCCAGGTAAACCTTCAATTTATCAGTTTATCAACTGATAAACTTATCAATTTATTCTTCTTCGTCAATCAACAGACCTTCTTTCCAATCGGCCTCCCTGTTGTTTCCGACATCTTTCTCCCAGCCTGGAACCAAACCAGATGGATTTTCCTTCTGACACACCTCATGCCCAGGAAGAGCCCCCACCCTCACCCAGTTCCACCTGGGTGCCCCAACTATGGTGTTCTGCCCCAGCTACGGACCCCAAAGAACGCAGCACACACAAAGTCCATTCAAACCTTAGTTTAATAAATTAAATCAGTCTTTTATAACAACAGCTGTTAATTAAGTGCATTAACAGCCACCAAGAATTCAAAGAAGAATAACTGAAAACTTCCTATGGTTGGCAGAATGCCCAGAAGCAATTTGCAGGAAGCTGATAAAATAAGCTAGACAAGACACGAAGGTATGTGAACGAAGTTGTTTCCTGCAAATTGCTTCAGTCGGCATTCCTCCTTAAATAGGGACTTCCGGTTTCCTTGTCTTCGGCGACGGCGGCGCTCTTTGAAGCTCCGCCAGCCCCGCCGCCTGTAGAGCCGCTTCGAAACGAAGAAGCGGCTCGAAAACTTCTAAATCCACAGGATTGAAGAAGGAGAGATCGCAGGGCACAGGTTGAGCCCCTGTAACCCCCAGGGAAGTTTCTGGGGAGAGAACAGGCGTGGCTCCCTCCCAACCTGCTGGAACTCCGGGCGACGTGGGACGATTCTGCTTTTGCAGAACAAGCCGGCTGCAGGAAACTTAAAGCGAAAGAACCAGTTTTAATAAACAGCGAAACTACCTGAATCCTGAAATTTGGAAACGCAAGTATTAGCACTTTGTTGACTTTTCAATCTGAGAAAATGCGAGTGAGTGAAAGTGCTTTGAAAAAACATGGCGCCTAGCTTCAGAGTTAACGAGCCAGCGAGTGTGGATTGGTGAAGTTACTTTGTTTTGTTACAAAGTTTCCAAGTTGCTACTAAGCTGCCTTGCTTGTTATAAGAGAAACAACTGGGAAATTTTTTCCCTTTTCAATATTGGACTTTGCTTTATTTTAACCCTTATTTGATCAAATCTGGGGGACTTTTTTAGAAGTCTTTGTGCAGGAGGGAAAGGAAAAAGGAACTTCCCTCTTTAGAAAAACTAGATCACGAGCCAGGATGGCTTCAAAGAAGCAGGAAGGGAAGGCATTAGGGGGGGGATCCCCCACACACAAACATCAAACGCAACTTCCCCCTGCTCAACAGCTACAAACTCAGAAAAAAGAATTTGATGTGGGAGATTTAAAAGAATTTATTTCTAAAACTCTGGATGAGAAATTTCAAAAATCTCAACAGGAGATAGATGATAAACTTCAAAAATCACATCAGGAATTTATGCAGGAAATTAATGAAGTTAAAGACATGGTGAAACAGAATCAAAATAAGGTGACCAAAAAAATATCAGAAGTGGCGTCTGGCCTGGCAGAATTTATTGGGAAAGTTGATTTTAAAGTTGAAGAATTCAAATCAGAAGTTAATGTTAAGATGAAAGACAATGATTATAAAATTGATGAAGTTGACAATAAAATGCAGAGAATTGAAGATGAGATTGTTATGATACAATTCCGGGCGATGGAATTTGCCATACGGCTTCGGGGAATTCGAGAGGAGGAGAGACAGGACTTGAGACAGGTTTGCTCTGAAGCCTTGGCTAAGATTTTACAAGCTAATCCTGATTTGGTATTTCATAAAATAGATAAAATTTACAGAGTGAACTCTTGGGTGGCCAGACAAAGACAACTGCCTAGAGATGTGGTCATATACTTTACTGAGAGAGAAATTAGAAATGATATCCTGCAAAAATCTTTTCACACTTCTGTACAAGTGGGGGGCTCACGACTTGAAATTTTTAAAGAATTACCTCCTAAAATGCTGAAAGCTAGAAAAGAATTTGGTTTTCTTGTTAAGGAATTGAGAAATTTACAGATACCCTTCCGGTGGGACGCACCAGCTGGGATAATTTTTAGATATAAGGGAGAAGGATATCGGTTGAATACCGTGGAGAAGGCACAACACTTTTACAGTACTATTCTTAAGGAAAGAACACCATCTCCACGTACATCTACAGTTTTGGAGATTAAGGAGAGTGAAGAGAGGCAATTGAAAGAACAGTCTAAGCAGGAATTAGAAAACATGCAAGGTGCAGAAGGAGGTTTTCTGAGTGAGCCCTTGTTGGATTCTTCTCCAATTTTGGATTTGATTCAGTTGACTGAAGTTAAAGATCAACGTATAACTAGAGCTCAATCCAAGCTACTTAAACAAAAGCAACAACAACAACAGGAAAGACAAGACAAGAAGGCAGTTAAGAGTACCGTACAAGAGAGTGGAGCTATGGGAGGAGCGAGATCGAAGCTCTCGGATGAACTTCAAATATTTTGCTCTGCGCTCCAGAAAGAGGCTGATGATGTTTAAGTGTCTATCTTGGAATGTCAATGGGTTGAATTCAGCACAGAAAAGGAAGAAATTATTTACATATTTGAAACAATTTAATAATGATATAATATGTTTACAAGAAACGCATATCACAACTCAAGATCAAAAATATTTGATAAACTCAAAACTAGGAGCACATTATATATCTTCAACTTCGCAGAAAAAGAATGGTGTGGTTATTTATGTAAATAAAAAATTAACAGCGAAAGTTATAGAAGCAGATGAAGATGGTAGGTTTGTAGCAATTGAATTGCTCACAGCAAATGGCCAAATTCTTTTGATTGGAATTTATGCTCCCAACCAACAACAGGATTATTTTTATAAGATGTTACATACTAAAATATTGCAATGGGATTACAGATCTATTTTAATTATGGGAGACTGGAATGGAGTAATTGATTCTAAACTAGATAAAAAGAGCTTGGCAAAGTCTAGAATTAGACTACCACAGACTTTTTTTGATATGAAAGAAGATATGGAATTAAAAGATGTTTGGAGAATACATAATCCAAATGAACTGGATTACACTTTCTTTTCTGATAGACATAGATCCTTTTCTAGGATTGATTTTATCCTGTTGTCAAATGATCTACTTGTTAAGACAAAAAGAACAAAGATTTTTCCAAGAACTCTGACTGACCATAGCCCTGTATGGATAGAAATTGAGATGGATAAGGTTGAGAGACGTTCTTGGAGATTAAATGTTTAGAACTTGTTTAGATATGAAAAAAATACAATAGAACTTAAAAAGCATTTGAAAGAATTTTTTGAAATAAATTTGAATAAAGGTACCCCAATTGAAATTGTTTGGGACGCAAGTAAAGCTTATATGAGAGGGGTACTTATCTACATGAATTCTAAACATAGACTGTTCCGACAAAAGAAAAGATCTGAGTTGGAAATGGAAATAAAGAATAAAGAACAGTTACTTATTAAAAACCCAACAGATGAAAGAATACGAAGTGCTATAAAACTTTTGAAAGACCAATTTCAAATGCTTATGGCGGAACAAGTTGCAACAAGCTTACAATACGCGAAGCATAATACATTTTGCAACGCTAACAAACCGGGCAGATGGTTGGCTTACACATTGAGGAAAAAACAAAGTATACGGACTATTGATAGTATTGATATTGGAGGGAAAGAAATCTTTCAACAAAAACTAATTAAAGAAGCTTTTGTGGATTATTATACTAAACTATATGCCAAAGAAGAGGTGCAGAATGGACTTATAGAAAAATATTTAAAGGATAAGAGAGTCACAAAAATTACTGATCAACAAAAGGAAAGAATGAATTATCCTATAACAGAGGAGGAGATAACAGCAGCAATAAAACAGCTAAAAACAGCCAAAGCTCCTGGCACGGATGGTTTGACTGCAGTGTATTACAAAACTTTACAAGCTGAAATGGTGGGACAACTTAGAGATTTATTTTGCAATATTCAACAAGGGGGTAAAATACCCCCATCTTGGACAACTGCTTATATATCTTTGATACCAAAAGAACAAGTTGGTCCTAAAAAACCAGAGAACTACAGACC